GCGTGTCGCCGGGGGCGCTGCCGCGACACGCCGCAGACGTGCATACATACATTCCCACCGCCTGGGGAGCCGACCTCCTTGGACTCCAGGGGGCGATCGGCATGGATACATCAGGACACCAGGCGGGGAAATATGGGGAAATACGATCTGTTATCGGGGCGACTGCAACGTAACGCGTGGCATCCGAAGCTTCTGGGCTCGCCGCCCGCTGGCCTCGGGCCGCCCCTCGCCTCCTCCTCCTCCTCCTCCTCCTCCTCCTCCTACTCCACTTTCTACTGGCGCGTGCCCGCAGTCCACCTACGGGCACCAAGTCCATGGCACCTCGCCGTCGGCCTTGCTGGCGCTGCGGCGCCAGGCTGCTGCGGCCATCACTGGTGGTCAAGGCGGGCGCTGCTTGACCAGCACGCTGGCGGCCTCTTTCGGCTTGAAGGACCCTGCGGTGGAGATACGTCGGCAGCTGGTTCTGGAATGGCTATGTTTCTGGCAGGCCCAACCTCAGCTACATCGGCGCTTCAGACTTGTGTGGCCGTCGATTCGAGGACGTCTTGTGAAGGCTGAGAAGCGGCGCTGGAACATCGTCAGAGGCCCCATCTCGGCGGTCATTGCTACATTGATGGATGTGGGGTGGGACCCGAAGTCGGCAACGGTCTGGACCCGCCCCACTCTGGCTGGAGTTGATGAGTGGCATATCCCGTCGAGCGGTGACGAGGCGTTTGAGCACTTCGGTTCCACTACGGAGTTGATCGACGACCTCATCAGCGACATTTGCTCGGCGCTCTGGTCAGAGGCTAGTAGGCATGACAATGGCGAGGGCCTGGCAGGTGGCGGCGACTTCTACCACATCATGAGGGAGCTCAAGCGTCACCGGGCCCGCAGCCAGTATGATGAACATGGATTGAATTTGACAGTCGTGGCTGGAGGGCAGTGGACTCGAGCTCGGGGGCACCTGTGCGGGTACAAGCTGGAGTCCACCACTTGCCCGCGGTGCATGAAGCATCCTGAGACACTTTTACACAGGATATGGTCGTGCGAGAACATCTGCGGCCACGACGACTACGACAAGATTGCCTCGCTGCTCCTTGCGGCGACCGCGCAGCATGAGAGCCAACCTACGTTCTGGTTCCGTGGTGTGCCCACTGTCTGCATGACCACGCCTCGGTTCGATGAGGCGCTGCTGGCCGAGCTCGAGCTCAGGCTGTCAGGCGCCTTTGATGAATGTGAGGAAGGGGGTGGACGGTGGTGTACGGGGACGGGTCGGGAGGGAAGCGCTCGGACGACCCCCGTCGTCGGCGCTGTGGCGCCGCGATCGTGGCCCTCGCTCCCGATGGGCATGGCGATTTTCAGGAGCGTGCTGGCATAGCAGTCCCTCTCCTCGGGCTGAAGCAGTCTGTCCCGAGGGCTGAGCTGCTAGCGTTTTGTCTCATGCTCGAGAATGTCCCAGGTAATGTTGAATTCGCACACTGATGAGAGAGCGAGTTTTAACAGTGAGTAGGACATGCTCACGGCCATGGGTAACATGGCTGCGGATATTTGGGCGGGGAGGGCGGCGGTGTTGGCGTGTGGGGGGGGGACCTTCCTCGGACCGATGCGGTCGACTCTGCTGCTGCAATGATCAGGAGACGTGCCCGTCGTGCGCTCCAGGATGCTGCCGCCGCCGACAAATCGTCGAAGGCGGAGAGAGATACGGTGCCCATTCAAGCGGTGCCGAGGTCCAGAGTTGCTCGAGCTGTCGCTGCCTCCGCCCACCGCCTCCGCCTGAGGGGTTCGATGTGGGTTTGCGAGGTGTGCCTCCAGACTGTGCCCAAGTTGAGGTTCCTGGAGTTGAGCTCGAGCCCCTGTTATCCTCCCCCTCCTCCTCCTCCTGTGGCTCCTCCCCCTCCCTGGGCTCAGAGGATCACTCAGGGAATCGGTTTGAATTTGCAGGGAGTTGAGGTCCACCCGTCGCACTCGCTCGGTCGAGCGGACCAATTCTTCCTGACCTTTTGTCACACCTGTGGGGCCTACGCGACTGTGGACCCCCGCCATCTTATTGCAGAATGCTTTCCGAGTCGGAAAGGCTTGGAGAACTTGGCTCGTTTGGGCAAGGGACTCTACCCTCGTCGTGATTGGCCCCCTAGAGCTGTTAAGATGGCGATGCAGGCTAGTGAGGAGTTTGACGCCCGTCAGAGGCGTCCGAGTGCGAGCGGAGCTGGATCGTCAAACGACCCTGGCCCTGCTCTCGCTATATTTCAGGATGCACCCGCGGGTCCAAACCCCTAATCCCCGAAGGTGCCGTCCTCCTTTGAAGCTACTGCCCCAATCTTCTCCCTGGAGTTGGGGGTAGGTGGCCCGCAACACTGTTGCTCCGATTGAATCCCAGCTTGAATCCTCCTCCTCCCTCCTCCTCCCCCCTCCTCCCTCCTCCTCCTCCTCCTCCTCCTCCTCCTCCTCTCCTCCTCCTCCTCCTCCTCCTCCTCCTCCTCCTCCTCCTCCCTCCTCCTCCCTCCGCCTCCTCCCTCCTCCACTTCCCTCCTCCTCCTCCTCCTGCTCCTCCTCCTCCTTCCTCCTCCTCCTCCTCCTCCTCCTCCTCCTCCTCCTCTTCCTCCTCCTTCTCCACTTCTGCGTGATGGCCGGCGGCGTCGCCGACGCAAGCGGTGCCGAGGAGGACGGGCAAAGCGAGCTTGCCGACGACGAGTTCGGCGAGCATGAGGACCTCGTGGAGGCCGGCTCGATCTGCCTGTGCACAGGCTACGACGACCAGGGCGCCCAGCAAACTCAGTACGCGGTCCGCGTCACGGAAGTCTACAGCCCGACGAGCGGCGGCCAGCGGGCGCGCTGCGAACACCTGTGCTGCGACGGCGGCCATTGGTCGTGGTGGCGGTCGACGCCGCGCGACAAAGGCGGCGCGGGCCAGACGCTGATCCACTTGTGCAATTTTGACATGTGTGCTGCTCGCGCGCCCTCGTCGGCCACAGGCATCCACGCTCCCGAGTTCCTCGAGCTCGACGTGGACGCGCCCAGGGAGTTCTCCACGTCCTGCGCATGTGAAGACTTGAGTCCGGCGTGGTTCGAGGGACCTCGGCCCCTTGCTGGAGGAGTTCGATGAGGATGAGGCTGACGACGTAGAAGAGGCTGACGACGTTCGACGAGTGGGTTTCTGCGTTTGCAGCCGAAGCGCAAGACACCCAACCCTGGACCAAGGAACCTCAGCGGATTTCAGGGTTGGGTTTTTCTCGCGGTGGGTTTCTTGCGCATCGACCCCCGCTGTACTGCGTGAGGCTGGCGTCGTGGCCGGGGCCGCTGGGCGCGCCGCGCGGCCCGCGCGGGGCAGGGCCGCGCGCCCCTGTCCGTACCGGTGCCCCCGCGGGCGCCAGCGGGGCTCGCCGCTCGCTGCCGCGGGCTCGCCGCCTCGACGCCGACGCAGGCCCTCCGCGCGCGACTGGGCCAGCTGCGCGAGCACGCGGGTCCCTCGCGCAGGGCGCTGCGGGAGGCCAACCCGCGGCTGGCGCGATGCTTGCGGCGGCGGCGAGCGCCCCGCCCTGCGAGGCGGTTCGCTCGCGGGCGGAGGGGGCGGCGAAGCTGGGCCCCGGCTTGGGCAAGGAGGTCGCGGGCCTCGACGCCTTGGCAGAGGGCGACGGCGGCAACGACGGCGCGATGCTCCAGTTGATGTGCGAGGCGATGGCGCGCCGCGGCAACTCGGCCGACGCGATGCAGTCACTCGTGTCGACCTCGAGCGGCAGCGGGGATAACGGCGCGCCGCGCTCGCTCGCTACCCGCCGAGGCCACTTCCGCCATGTCGCCACGCAGTTTCTGGGCCGGGGCCTCATGTCGGAGCAGGCCATCGGCCGCGCGCGCGAATATTTTGCGTCGTAGATCGGCGACGAGCTACATGAGGACTTCCCGCCGATTTGTGCCACGCATTTTCTGAACGCGCTCATCCCTCAGAGCCCGATTGAGTCCGTCCGCGCCGAGGTCAACCGCGAAATGCGGACGGCGTGCGAGGGGGCAGATGCGACCCTCGGCGGCAGGACGTCGCGCGACCTCGACGTCTTGAGCCACAGAGCTCAAGCGCCCCAGCTCTTCTCGTTCGACAAGACATGGTCGGGGACGCGCTGGCTGGAGCTGATCCCACCCTCGAACGAGCAGCGCGCCCTCCGCGCTGAAGACGAGGAGATCGAGCGCGCCGTCGAGCTCGGGGAGCTTCGCCTCGAGGAGCTGGCCCCGGCGTCGAGGGTGGGCCAGGGGTCGGGCCGGGAGAGGGGGCCGCCGAGGAGTAACTCCTCTCCTGTAGGCCGGCAGTCCAGGGGCCGGGCCCCCGCGCCTCGCGCGCGGCCAGCGGCCCAGACTCCTGGGGGCGCGTCGGGGCCAGCCCCTTGCCTCCAGCCGGCGCCGCGGACGCGGCCCGCGCTGGCTCGGGGGCCGCGAGGGAAGCGACTTTAAAGGGCGATGCTGCGCAGGACCGCCCGTCGACGCTAGCATCCTGGGAGGACATCAATAGTGCCACCTCCAAGCGCGCGGGGAAGCGCGCCTGCAAGAGTCGCGGCCGCTGCGGGGCCCACACCGGGAATTTGACGCAGCGGGCGAGGAAGCTACGGGACCGCCCCCCCGCGAGCGGCGCGGCGGCGCTAATAGCGCTGCTGCGGGATGGCCCGAATCGTTGCCAGCCTGCGCTTACTTGTCCCAGTGGAAGGCAGCTGTCGCTTGAGATGTGCCTGGCGCGCCGCGCTAGCTGGACCTGGGCGTCGCCGCCGCCCCCTTGCGCCGGCGGCTCCCCTCGTCGCCGCGGCCAATTTTGCAGCGAGCTCCGCTCTGCCAGTCCCGCGGGCGGAGGGCCGCTGGCAAGGTCGCGCGACCCGCGCCGCTGACCCTCGCCGACCTGGCGCTCGCGCGAGCACGGGTCAGCTCTCAGGGCGTTTCGAGGCGACGACGACCGCGGCTTCAACCCGAGGCTAGACCAGCAGCGCGAGTGGCGCGGACCAACATGTCGGCGTTGGCCCTCGACTTTGAGCGCGCGGGGCGAGGCGGGCCCGGGCGCCCGCGCTGCGTCTAGCGCGGAAGGCCACCCGCGAGACCGCCAGTGGCCGCGTCGACGGCTTCTTGGAGCAGCCGCTTGTCAGGCAGCCCCGCGTCGACTGGAACACGAGGTTAGCCGAGCTCCGCGCCGACTGCGCAGGAGGGGGGCAGGGCGCGGCGATGCCAGCGCACCTCGCGGAGATCACCCCTGGCCACCCTAACCCCGACGACGCGGCGCGGCTCGAGGCTGGGGAGGTCGTCGACGACCACAGCAGGTTGGAGGCGCTCCTCGACCCCGCCCGCGTCGCGCGGCCGCCCGCCGAGTGGCCCGAGGAGCCGCCGCGGGCGCGGGTTAACTGCAAGAAGTTCGAGCACTGGCGCGAGGTCGCCGAGCATTTGTTGCACCAGGCGCAGTCGGCGTCGTCGGGCAGGGGGATATCCTCACCGCGGGCGCCCGCGCGGTGCTCGAAGGCCCGTTCGCCGGTGAGAGGAAGGGCAAGCCGCGCGAGGGCCAGAAGCGCCGCGCTCGCCCGATCTTCTTCATGGCGCCCTCGAGCGCCAGCCTCCAGAACATTGTGGAGGGCGCGGCGACGCTCGCGGCATCCAGATTCTGGACTAGCATCCACTCGCCAGCTGTCTGCGCCGTGGTCTGGGGCAACGACGATCAGCAGCCCCCGCCCGCCTGGCGGGACGGGGTGGCAGCGTCTGTGCCGACGCCTGCCCGCGCTGCGGGGCTCCCGGGCGACCACTTCGTCTGGGTCGCTTCCCGGGTCGTCCCGACAGGCCGGGTGCTGGCGGTCACGCCGCTCCAGCATCTCCACCGCCGACTGGCTTTGAGGGTCCCCAGGCTTGGGGCGGGTTTGCCCCCTGGCGCCGAGCGGAGGCAGGGCCGCCGCTGGCCGCTGCTGCAGCGGCCGCAGAGGCAGCGGCAGCCTGCCGACTGTCGGGCACGCCCGGCGACATGCAGCGCGCCATGCGCCGGGCCGACACGCGGGCGGAGGTCGCCTACGAAGAGGAGAAGCCCCACCAGCGGCAGATGCAGCTTCAGCGGATGGGGCCTCCATCGACGGCGCCCGCGGCACTGCGCGGGCCCCCGCAGCCAAGACGGTCGAGTTCGTGCGCTACATCCTGCATGCGTTGGGCCGCGACTTCTGCCCGTGACTGCTCATGCTCACGCTGCTCGGCCGTGCGCTGCGGGTGCTGGAATTTCGCGGGCCGCTGCTCGGTCGCCTCGACCTCTTTTGGAAGTTTTCGAACAAGACGGCAGGAGGACACTTCGACGCTGGCGTGTCACAGGAGCTGCTTGTCTGGATTGGGTACCTGCCGATCGCATGCACCGACTTGAGAGCAGCGCTATCGCCATGACCGCCGTCCCCGACGCCTCGGAGCAGGGCGGGGGCGTTTGCGCCTCGGTCGGCCTCGCCCCGCTGGCTGCCGAGCGCTCGCCGCAGTTCGTGCCGAGGTCGACCCGGCGCTGAAAAGCGCAGCAAGCCAGGGCCGCCTTCAACCAAGAGCGCGGCGCCTTGGCGCAGTCGGATGGGCGGAGCGAGCCCTCGGAGCCGCGCGATCTTGGGTTCGGGCCAAGTTGGCATGCGGACCCCTCGCAGAGAAGCATTTTTCCGTTTGGGTTCTGCGAAGATTTTTGGCGTCGCCGCGGGGAGGCCCAAGGTGTTGATCGTGGGTCTCTTCGATGTCATCGCGGCGCTGGCGGCTCCTGCGTCGCGCATGCCCGTCAACATCATTGGCGTGGTCTGCGGCGAGGTAGACCGGGCAGCCAGGCGGGTCGCCCACCACAGGCGACCACAAATTGCCGACTGGGGCGACGTGCGTTCCATCTCGCAGGCCGACTTCGTCAAGCTCGCGGACACGTGCTACAGCCTCGGCGACATCTGCATCGTCGGCGCAGAACCCATGTTGGGGCTCTCCTACGAGGCGCCGAGGGTCCATGCCCTGCTGCGGAAGCACTAAAAGGAACAGTTCGCCTCCTTCGCCGAGAACGTCGCTTCGATGAAGGACGACCGCAGGGCCGAGTTCACGCGAGCTCTTGGAGTGGCACCGTGCTGGCTTGTCGTCGCACATGCCCGACGGCCGCGGTGCTGTTGGCACAGCTGGCCTTCGGTGCCGACCCCCGATTTCGAGTCGTTCGGCTTGGGAGCAGCTGGGGGCGACCCTGCGCTCCAGGGCTGCTAGGCAAAAGGCATGCACTGGATCGGAGAGCGCAATGGGCCCTCGATGGGCATCGCTACCACCTCGGCTGGCACGGGGATGCCAACGTGCCTCGGAGCCTCAAGCGTGGATCTCTGCGCGCGCCCAACCATGAGGAAAAGGGAGGCACTCGCGGGGTTCTACAAGCACTGCACTTGAGTTGCCCACGAGGGCGCCGAGGCCTCCAGTCTCGCCGACGTGCGGAACTTCTTATTGAGCAACACGTACTCGGTGCATTTGGTCACGTGGCTCTTCCAGAGCTGCTTCTGGCTCGACGATTGCTCGAGCGCGAGATCCTTGCCCGCGCGCTCCGCTGCCGCGGGACCAGCGGGCTTTCCTGGGGCGAGATCGGCGAGTGCACGGAGGGGCCCGCCGAGTGCGACAGGGCCCTCGCGTCGCCGTTCACGGGCGAGTTCCTAGTCAACGGGGGCCGCGACGGCAGCGACATCAGGTTCGACGTCGGCTTGCCGCGCAGGCCGCGGGCCTGACCCAGGGCCAGGGTCAGTCCGTTCAATCGGCACCGCAGGGTCGCGTTGTCCTTCCGGTTGCATGACGAAGATGGACGAAGCCAACCACCGCATCAATTGCCGTGAGCTTCAGACAGGGGTCGCAGCGCCTCTCTGGCGCTCGAGGGCCCCGCGCCATCTCATCGCGAGGTTCGTTCGTCCACTTGTTCGACTCGCGGGTCGCGGCGTTCATCGCGATTAAGGGCAAGTCTTCCAGCGGCAGGCTCCAATGGCTGCTGCGAAAGCGGGTCTCCCCGTGCGTCGCCGCTGCCCGATCATCGGGCGCGTCGCCGCGGAGGACAACCCCGCCGACGCTCCCTCCGGAAGGTTTTGGGAAGCGCGGGGCGGCAGCGACGTGTTCCGGAAGCACTCCTTCAGAGAGCGAGAAAGGCGCGCTCAGCAAAGCGTCGCACTGCTGCTCCGAGTCGCGGACACAGCGCGCAAGCGCTGCGCCAGCGCGCAGGAGGTGCTCGTCGATTTCTGGAACAGCACTGGCATGCGCCCAGCAAGGCCGACTAACGTCGGCGAGGGAGTCGCCGGGTACGTCGAGATGCTGTGGGGGGCCGAGGACACGCTTATCAGCGTGGCCAACTATGCTGTTACCGCCGCGGGCTTTTTCTACCCGTCGGTCAAGCGGAACCTCGGCCTGGCGTGGGGCTTTCTGAAGACCTGGCGCAGATGCGAGCCGCCAGTCATGGCTCTCCCTTTTACGCCACAGCTTGTTTTGGCCCTCTCTGGAATAGCTGGTGAGTGCAGTGCTAGCGATGTCGCGACTTTGCTGGCGCTCGGCTTCGCTGGCCTCATCCGCGCGACAGAGCTCTTCACTGTGACCAAGCGCCAGATCGCCATCATCAGTGGCAAGGTCGCGGTCCGATCCCCAGAGAGGACAGGCTTCCGCAGGGCCGCGCCACAACGGAGGTTGCGATCGCCAGCTGTCCCGTCGCGGCCCAGCTCGTCTCAGAAAGGCTCGACCTCGCGAAGCCACGCGCCACAGCTGGCTATCGAACGCCCCACCAGCTCAGATGCTGCTGAAGAAATTGCGCGCCGTCTTCCACCTCGCAATCTTCCGATGTTCTTGGTGTTCGTGCGGGCGCGTCGGCGCGACGCATGACTCCACTAGCCGCCAGGGTATGGAGACCACGATTATGCGCGGAAGCTGGGGGGCCGACCGCCACTGCCAAAATATACACAGAGCATCATCGAGCAAGCAGCGGCAGACGTTGTGCAAGTAGCGCCAGCGCATGAGAAGAGCAGCCGCTGCTTCAGCGTTTCGCGCTCGCCCTGCGCCGCAGCCTTGCAAAGTCCATCGACCGACGGTTCCAAGCCTGTTGAGTCATGCGAGTAATGTTTCAGATCTTGGGGCAAGGCAGATGAGTTCCTCCATCGCCACTCTTGGGGGTCCGCGGAGAGTGCCACGCGTTTGGGAGGCCACCTGTCCGCTCGATGCCCCCTGCCTGCAGCCATGGGTCCTCGGCTCTCTGGGGTCTTCTGGGGCTCCACGAGCCCGCGGTCTGGGCATTCGCTCGCCCTGGCTTCCATGGGGCCTCGTGGGCCTGAGGGCTCCCCAGGGCTTGGGGGGGGGGTTCCTGTGGGCTTGCAGGCTTAGCGTCTCGCCTCCTAAGCTGGCCTTTGCCAGCGCCGCTGGCCACAGGCCCTTTGGCGTGGGAAGGGGAAAGCAAGCGGCATATCCATATCCACCGCTTCCCGAGGTCCAGCAATAATCGGTCCCAGAGGCGGCTACTCTGTAGAAGTGCCCGTCTCCGGTTGCGGGTCCCCCGCGCCCTCCACGCGCCATGTCGTGAGCCTTCAGGGCGCGCGGGCCCGCCGTAGAAAACGCCATTTCGCGGGTGCCGACGTGCTCGATGATGGCCTCCGGCTTGCTGAATGATGGCTTCTGCCCTGACCCTCGAGAGCTCAGAGGGCTCACGCGTCGTGCGCAGAGACCGATGCCGAGCTGGCCCGCACAGGTTGCTGGTCGAGCGGAGCGGAGTGAGGTGAGGGAGGAGGAAGGAGCCGAGGGGGGCGGCGCCAGGGGAGGGGTGGCGAGGAGAATGTCGGACGCCTAGAGATAGACACCAAAACCAACATTGGCGGTGTGCTTCCACCGAAGGAAGATGATCCCGATCTCGGTGATGGTGCTAATGCTCGGGCTTCCTGGGTGGCCGAAAGATTACCACCAACACCGAAATCCAGGATCGTCTTCCTCCCGTGGAGGCAACCCCTGGTGTTGGTGTTGGTGCCCATTTCCACGCGTCCAAGCATGGGGAGGGCGCGTGTGCCGACGAGGAGAGCAGGGAACGTTCTCTCACCCCTACCTTCCTCCCCCCTCAATTTGCTCCTCTTCTGGGTTGGCCTGTCACGGCTCAGGCAATCGAGGCGAGGTCAGCGTCTCAAGGCGGCGAGGTGCCAGCCGCCTTCGAGTTGGCGCGTTGGGTCCTCAAGACTTGCCTGGTTTGCTTGGAGGTGGCCTTGCTCGCCCGGAGCCCGAAAACAAACAACAAAAGAGCACGAAACAGCTACCGGAGCGAAGAAACGAAAACCTGCAGAAGGGAGGCCGAGCCCCCTTGTTCGCGCAGGTGTTGGGGGCGCCTCTGCACCGCCCCTGCCCTCGGGCCTCAAGGCGAGGTCAGAGTCCTCCTCCTCCTCCCTCCTCTCCTCCTCCTCCTCCTCCTCCTCCTCCTCTCCTCCTCCTCCTCCTCCTCCCTCCTCCTCCTCCTCCTCCTCCTCCTCCTCCTCCTCCTCCTCCTCCTCCTCCTCCTCCTCCTCCTCCTCCTCCTCCTCCTCCTCCTCCTCCTCCTCTCTCCTCCTCCTCCTCCTCCTCCCCTCCTCCTCCTCCTCCTCCTCCTCCTCCTCCTCCTCCTCCTCCTCCTCCTCCTCTTCTTGGGGGGCCCTCCGCCGTTCCTGGCGGGGCCAGCCCTGTGCCCCGGATCGGCGCGCACGCCTCGTGGGCCAGGGGGCCGTCCTCGCACAGATCCTGGGGCCCAGGACGGGTGCCCTGCCCTGGGCTCGGCGTGCGAGGGCTGCGCCCTGCCGGGGTGCCGCGCTGCCTGCAAAGCAGTGGTGTCGAACCCTCCTGGATATGCGGCAGGCTCCCCCTGTCCTCGCAGGGGCCCCCGCAAGCAAGATTGCGGCAAGGGAGAGTCGAGGAGGAGAAGGGGGGGAAAGGATAGGAGGGGAGAGGAGGCAGGAGGAGGAGGAGGAGGAGGAGGAGGAGGAGGAGGAGAATGAGAGGAGGGGAGGAGGAAATGGAGTAGGAGGAGGAGGAGGAGGAAGGAGGAGAGGGGGAGGAGGAGGAGGGAGGAGGGAGGATGGAGGAGGGAGGAGGGAGGAGGGAGGAGGGAGGACGGCGGAGGTTGGAGGGAGGAGGGAGGAGGGAGGAGGAGGAGGCGGAGGAGGAGGAGGAGGAGGAGGCGGAGAAAGGCAATATGTACTGATACTGATACTGATACTGATACTGATACTGATACTGATACTGATACTGATACTGATGATGATGATGATGATGATGATGATGATGATGATGATGATGATGATGATGATGATGATGATGATGATGATGATGATGATGATGCTGTTGATGATGAGGATGATGATGCTGAATGCCTGATGCTGTGCTGATGCTGATGCTGATGAGCTGATGCTGATGCTGATCTGATGATGAGAATGATGCTGATGATGATGCTGATGATGATGATGCTGCGCTGCTGATGATGATGATATGCTGATGTTGATGTTGATGCTGATGATGATGATGATTCTGATGATGATGATGATGATGATGATGATGAGGAGGATGATGCCCTGATAATGCTGCTGCTGATGATGATGGTGGTGGTGGTGATGGGAGTGATGATGATGATGAGGAGGAGGAGGAGGAGGATGAGGATGAGGATGAGGATAGGATGATGATTATAATGATGATGAAAGGATGTGATGAATGATGATGTGATGATGGTGATGATGACGAGTGACGATGCTGATAAATGCCTGCTGCTGATGATGATGGTGTGGTGGTGATGGTGATGTGATGATGATGATGAGGAGGAGGAGTGATGAGGATGAGGATGGGATTGAGGATGAGGATGATGATGATGATGGTGATGATGGTGATGATGACGATGACGATGACGATGAACGATGACGATGACGATGATGATGATGATGATGCTGATGATGTGATGATGAATGATGATGATGGATGGAGGATGATGATGATGATGATGATTGATGATGATGATGATGATGATGTGATGATGATGATGATTTGATTTGATGATGATGATTGATGATGATGATGAGATGATGATGATGATGATGGTGATGATGTGATGATGATGATGGCGATGGCGATGGCGATGGCGATGGCGATGGCGATGGCGATGGCGATGCGGAGGAGGAGGAGGATGAGGAGGAGAAGTTGGAGGATGAGGAGGAGGAGGAGGAGGAGAAGGATGAAGAGCCAGAAGAGGAGGAGGAGGAGGAGGAGGAGGAGGAGGAGGAGGAGGAGGAGGAGGAGGAGGAGGAGGAGGAGGAGTAGGAGGAGGAGGAGGAGGACGAAGAAGGGGAGGAGTAGAGGCGAGGAGGAGCTTCATGATTGCAAGTCATCATGTTTAGATGCGGGTAGCTGGAGCGGACGAGTGGCAGAGGAGTGGACTTCAGGTTGTGCTTCCTCGTGCGGAGCCGGCAGACAGTCTGCCTGGGGGTGCTTCCTCGTGCGGAGCCGGCAACCAGTCCGCCTCGGGGGGTGTGGCTTGGCGCGTCGCGCCGCCGATCTTGGCCCACCACGCTGCGGCGCGAGACGCTGACCACGTCCCGGTCCCCAGGCGTCAACGTCCCCAGGCGTCAACGTCAGTCCTTCACCCCGCGGGACGGAGCGACGCGCCATTTGCTTGCAAGGCTCAGCGTGTCGCTGGGGGTCGACGCCGCGACCTGCTGAGCCAAAGTTCCCGACCGTGGGCTGGAGCCCCGTCTTCCTTCCGCTCCCTCCGCAGCTGCTCGGCTCAGGCCGCTTTGCTCCATCCCCCCCGGCAAGCCTCGCGTGGTCGGCGAATCCAGCTCGCGACGGCCGCACCCGGCCCTCTTGCTTCAGAAGCATGGCTCTTGTCCTCCTGCGCTTCGGTCTGGCGTGCTTCCTGGTCCTGCACGGCTCAGGTGGGCGGCGCGCAAGGGAGGGCAGGGTCAGCGGGGCGGCCCTCCAAGAAGACCCCATGACCGCTGGAAGGTGGACGACGACCAGGACGAGGACCAGGACGACGACGCCGCCGCCGCCGACGACGCCGCCGCCGCCGACGACGACGCCGCTGACGACGACGACGACGAAGACGACGACGACGACGACGACGACGACGACGACGACGACGACGACGACGACGACGACGACGACGACGACGACGACGACGACGACGAGGACGACGACGACGACGGCGGCGGCGGCGGCGGCGGCGGCGGCGGCCGACGCGGAGCTGCGCCCGGCGCGTGGTGTCTGATGAGGCCTCTCCCTTTTTTGAGAAGCCCCACGACTTCGCAGAAGTCCGTCAACCCAGGCCTCCCGAGCGGATCCCCGAGCCCGCGCAGCCTCGCGGGGTCGGGGGACCCCACGCCGCGTCGCCGCTGCACCGGCGACGCGGCTCGGCGTGGGGCCCGAGGCCCTCCGCGCCGACGTGACGCCGACGCGTCGCCGGTGCATCGCCGATGGAGTGCAGTCCCGGTCTCGGTCGAGGTGGCCCTCCACGCCGACGTCGCCGACGCGTCGCCGATGCATCGCCGATGGAGTGTGGTCCTGGCCTCGGTCGGGGTGGCCCTCCGCGCCGACGTGACGCCGACGCGTCGCCGATGCATCACCGATGGAGTGCGGTCCTGGCCTCGGTCGGGGTGGCCCTCCATGCCGACGTCGCCGACGCGTCGCCGATGCATCGCCGACCCCCGGCCACCACCGCGTCAGTGTTGAGCTGCACTGCCAATGCCTCGCTCTCCTGGGGATTTGCTGTCTTCCTGCTCGTGCAGGTTGGTCACGTGTGCTGAGCTGCACTGTCGATGCCGCGCTTTCCCGTGGCTTCGCTGCGTTCCTGCTCGCAACGCGCACCGCCAGAGGCGGCGGAGAGCTTGAGAGAGAGATCCACCGACAAAAGATGCACCGGCGATGCGGCGCGATCCTGTGGCCTCGTCTGCTCGGACCCCAGCAAGGGGGACCTCTGGCAGGGCCCCCCCCCCCTCCACCCCGCCCGCCTCTGCCCGTCGCCGATGCAGGCGCGCGGGTCTCGACGGAGGACGCGGAGGCCCACGAGGCGCGGCAGGCCGAGCAGGGCAACGCCACCGACGCCGTCGGCAGGCAGGGGCAGTCGACGCCCTGGATCGGGGAGTCCGCCTTCAACGACATGAAGCACGAGTGCCTTTATGAGTACTTCGACGCAGTCCACGTGCCCCGCCCCGCCCAGTTCACGCAGTGCCACGGGGCCCTCCCCCCGCAGGAGTGCAAGCAGTGGTGGGGCATGAAGGAGGGCTGCCCCTCGGACAGGACGTGCTGCTCGTGCCGGAAGTCGCGGTGCGCCTACAAGGTCATGGGCGACACGTTCATCTACAAGGCGGCCACCGACTCGGGCTGGGTCGCCAAGTGTGCGCTGAACACGGGCCCGCTCGCCGGCTGCTCGGGCGTGCAGGAGCCAGGGGCAACGTCAGGGGGGACAAGTCTCAGATAACAGGGCATGCCCCCCTGCAGGCGGATCTTGGAGGAAGGATTCAAAATATCCTCCACATGCCCTAAAATGATCAAACATAGCATACAAAACTCGTCCTCAGCCTGGATTTGTTTTTACTGTTTTTGAATATCCCCCCTGTAGAGGGACAGGCCCGACTGTTCGGCTGAAGGCGGGACGCACCAGCCCCCGCCTCGTCCACGGATCGCCGCTACAGGCGCTTGCTGGCCCGCCCCGCCCAGGAGCGTGCAGGCTCCTCCATCGAGGGCCTACATCGCCGATCTATCGGCGGCGCATCGCCGCTTCCAGGGCGACGTCTCTCGAGGGAGGAAAAGCCACCCCGACCCCGACAATTGGCGTTTACCGAACGGCCCTGGGCGTTTGCGAACACAGCCCTGCCCTGTTCGATCCCTTCCCGGGTCGCGTTGACGATACGGCTCCGCTTGGCGGGGTGACTATCATGAGGGTGAACTTTCTGCTCTCTAGTGTTTCCCCCCCCCGGAGCCATTCTGCCCCTGTCGTCCCAGAGATCCGACGTCGTGATCTTTGCAACACGGGGTCCCCAGAAGTCTCGACCCATTCCCGAGGACCGGCTTGTGGTCCTGAGTCGTTTTTTGACGGTCCCGAGGCCCAGCGAGTGCTCCCAGAGGCTGAAAACGGCGAAAGACCTCCGTCCTGAATTCTTCAGTGCGCTGGATCTCTGGGTTCTTCTGGGTTGCCCCTCGAGGAGAAGGCGGGTGGCTGGAGGTGAAGCGCAGCCCGTGCTGCTGGCCGCGGCCCCGCGACCTGGCCGCGCCAGCCACGCCCCAGTCTCGCGTGCGCGTGGGCGCACAGAAAAGCGCTCCGCGCTACGCGCGGCTTCTTGGGGAGAAACTCATTCTCCCCCTCCTCCTCCTCCTCCTCCTCCTCCTCCTCCTCCTCCTCCTCCTCCTCCTCCTCCTCCGCCTGCTTTTCCTCCTCCTCCTCCTCCTCCTCCTCCTCCTTTTCCTTTTCGTCCTCCTCCTCCTCTTCCTCTTCGTCCTCCTCCTCCTCTTCCTCTCCCTCTTCCTCTTTGTCCTCCTCCTCCTCCTCCTCCTCCTCCTCCTCCTTCTCCTCCTCTTCTCCGCCGCTTCTCTCCTCCTCCTCCTCCTCCTCCTGCCGCGTCTCCTCCTCCTCCCGCCTCCCTCCTCCTCCTCCTCCTCCTCCTCCTCCGCCTCCACCTCTTCCTCCTCGCTAAATCATTGCAGAGCGTTCCCGGACGCTCTCAGAGCGTTCGCGAGCGCTCTGGAACGGCCGCGGCGCCCGATACACCGTCCGGAGTCAGAGATTTCCGATTGTTTCCCGGGTCCGATTTTGTCCCAGCCTTGGCTTCGTCGTAGTCTCGGTCTGCAGCCACATTCGAACGCGACAGGCGAGAACGACGAAGGACGAGGCCGAAGACGAGCATGATGAGGAGGAGGAGGAGGAGGAGGCGGAGGGGGAGGAGGAGGAGGAGGAGGAGGAGGAGGAGGAGGAGGAGGAGGAGGAGGAGAAGAGCGATGAAGAGGAGGAGGTGGGAGGTGGGGCAGGAGGATGATTTTGAGGAGGAGACGAGTCCGCAGGGTGCGGCGTATTGAGGTCCGACGTCGGAACAAACACAGCGCCGTGAAGCGTTAGGACCGAGATCCCATTTCTCTGCGGCGCGTCCGAGCCTGACCGATCCACGAGGGGCCCAAGTTGCCCGAAGCTGGGCGAGAACGCCCGGTGTCGGGGCTCGTTTCGCCGGGCGCTCGATCGGGCGGGCGGGCGGACCCGAAAGGGCGAGTCGGGTCGGGCGGGCGGACCCTGACGGTCGGGCCGGCGGGCGGGCGGGTCGGGTCGGGCTGGCGGATCCTGCGGGCCGGGCCCGGGCCCAGGCGGACCGCACCTGGGCGAAATGAGCCCGAGCGAAGTGAGGCGGGCGCGTCGAGCCTGGCGGCTCAAGCCGGGCGAATCGAGACTCGGGCGAACCCGGGCGAACCGAGCCCTCGGCGACTCGAGCCGGGCGAATCGAGCCGGGCGAATCGAGACTCGGACGACTCGAGCCTACGCCGTGAGTGCTCCTCCCCTGGCGCGGGGGCTTCCGCCAGCTCCTCTTCCCGTCCCAGGGGCTCCTCGTGCTCCGCTGTCTTGCCGGCGCCCATCTCTCAATCGGCCGTGCTGCTGCTTCGTCGGTGTCTTCAGTTCGACTTCGATGGCTTCCGAGTTCGATTCGATTCGACTTGGGATTCCGATCTGGGCTCCGATTTCTCAATGGAGGCATACTATACTAGCTTGCCGCAAGCCGATTTCCGCCGATTCGACTTTTCCTGACTCGGCTGCCGATGTCCGCCGATCCGATTCACTTCGATCGCCGTTCCGACTTATCGATTCGATTCTGAGCTCCCCTGCCCCGAAGTCGCCATTGCGTCGACGTTGAGGTCCCAGAGGCCCAGAGCCCAGAGATCCAGCGGTGCGAAGTTCCGAGATATGCCCCCCCTCCGACTTTTCGACCCCGTCACTGGGGCCTGCTTTGAAGGAGGGGAGTTGGGCCGTCTTCGGGTCACTGGCGCTTTTTTTGCCAACGGGCCAAGCTCCAAGAATTTAGAATCGCCAGCCTTGTCATGGGCACTTCAAGAAGGTGGGTCCCTGTGGCGAGCGGCGCCCAGGAGTCTCTCCCGTGCGGGGGGGGAGGGGCACGCGGGAGGGTGGGTCCCCGTTGCGAGCGGCACCCACGAATCAAGGGGTCCTGCACCGTTCCCAACAATCCTGTGGTCGTTTTGAAGAGACGGTCCCCGCGCTCCTCTCCTTCCTTCCTCCTCCCCCCCAGAGGCCCGAGACCGGCTTCCAGAGGCCCGAATGCAGCGGCGAAGAATTTGCCGTCTAGCTCTTTCGGCCAGCTGGATCTGTAGGGCCACATGGTCCGGTGCCCCTCCAGCGAGGTCGATCCCTGGGCCGGCTTCACATCCCGAGTCGTTGACGGTATTGGGGCCGCGGGCCCAGGCGCCGAAAACAGCGACGCCTTCACATCTCGGCTTGTTCAGAGCGTCGGAGGCCCCCGTTCGCCTGGCTGGCCTCTCACCCCGAGTTTTTGCTGTCTGTTTTTACGGCCCCCAGGCCCAGCAAGGGCCTTCCGAGGGCGAAGCCTCCTCCTCCTCCTCCTACTCCTCCTCCTCCCTCCTCCTCCTCCTCCTCCTCCTCCTCCTCCTCCTCCTCCTCCCCTCCCCTGCCCCCCCTCCTCTCCCTCCTCCTCCTCCTCCTCCTCCTCCTCCTCC